TCTGTCTCAAAACAATAAAAAAATAAGGGCAGTGTCTGTGGCTCAGTGGGTAAGTTGCGAGCCCCATATGACAAGGGTGGCAGGTCTGGACCTGGCCCCAGCCAAACTGCAACCAAAAAATGGCTGGGCGTTGTGGTGGGCGCCTGTAGTCCCAGCTACTCAGGAGGCTGAGGCAAGAGAATCACGCAGGCCCAGGAGTTGGAGGTTGCTGTGATCTGTGTGACACCACAGCACTCTACCGAGGGCGATAAAGTAAGACTGTCTCTAGAAAAAAAAAAAAAAGAAGCAGCTTAAACTAAGGATGATATCACCAAAGAAGTCACCTCCATCCCTGTCCTTGGGGCCCCTTCTTCAGCACCAAGGCTAGGCCTATTTGAGACAGTATTTCTGCATCTACAAGCTTGAAGTCTGTGTGTCTTGCTGAGGTCCAAGGTGTCTGGTGAAAGCCAAGTGCTCCAGAAGGCTCTGCACAGTCTGACTCTGACAGAGAGTAAACTATAGGCACAGTGACCTCAACTGGGTGGTCTAATCAGGGATCTGAGTGGACCAACATCAGCCATGTTTGCATCTTCACAGAGCTATGAGCCAGACGCAGAGGCTCCCCTACCCCAGGATAGCCACAAGTGCAGAGACAGGGAAAAAGAACACCAGCAAAGTGAGAGGGTGGCGTGGGAGGACACAGAAGCACATCAAGCAGCAACCTAGGAAGAAAGAGAATGCCCAAACATCGGTGAGGGGAGGGAACCCTAGGGACCCCCAGGGACTGCTCCCAAAAGGTCTACAGAGCTGAGTCAAGGTCAGTCACTGTGTATAGCAGGCTTGCCAAGTGCACAAGGTGAGGGCTGGGGAAATCGAAGTCCTCAGGGTGAGGGTCCTAAAGCCTCGGCCCTTCTCAAGTCTTGAACTATTCTCCAAGTACATGCACCCAAGCACTAAGAGAGTACACCCACACTCACCACTCCCCAAGTCCACAAACAGATCATCCTCAGTCATCTTGATCTCGTCAATCATCTGAGCCACCAGGTCGAAGGAGGTCTCCCCATATACCTCAGGTGAGAAGGGCTCATAATTGTTGAGCTTCTCGGGGTCGGTCACCGAGTGGTTGTAGACCTGCTGTAGGATGTGCCGCAGAAGCCCGTTGGATGGACGAGTGTTCAGCTTCATAGGCTGGGTGGTGCCCTTCCACTGGGGATAGGGAGGGCACAGACATGTCACAAAGGCCACAGGCTGCCCCTCCACACCAAGACCTGGGTCGTTTCACTGGAGTATGCATCTTCCAGAGTGTGGTTATGTGGGTATGTGCATTAACATGCATAAGCACACACACACAACTTTTCTCAGGTTTAGCTGGTAGCTGGGACAAGAGGGAGCGAGACAGCTCCTTCCTGCCTCTCCCTGGCAGAGGAGCCTGCTGGGTGCTCGCTGCATGGGTCACTTACTAACCCAACACCATTTCCTGTGAGAAGCAGAGACGCATAGCCCGCAGTCAAACCTGACCTGCAGCCTGGGTACCAAGGGGGTGGGCCTCCCTGCCATGCACCTGCTGCTTAGGCCACCTCAGACAATGGGGTTTTCCTAGCCTTATGGGCTCAGGGATCCTGGCCTCAGAGAGGCCATCTTTCACTAAAAATCTCTTAGCAAGAAGGAATCAGTTGAGAACTCCAGAAAGTGCCAGCACTTCCGACTCCAAGGTAGGACACCAAAATGGCCTATCCAGCCCAACAGCTCAACTGGTCCCCACAGTAACTCTCTTCCGAGCAAGGCAGCCCAGGGCCTGACACACCAACCCATTTGGCCACCCAGAACCCCCAGGATGCAGGGTCTGGCCAGAAATATTGTTCTGAGAATGAACAGCATGGACTCCCCCTAAGAACAGTGCAGGAGGGTCTGTGCACAGCTCCTTGGCCTTGCCTGTGGCACTGGAACAGACATCTGGGAACCAGGCCCCAGCCCTGTGGGGAAAAGGGCTAGGCAAACCCATGTATACTTGCCACATCAGCCTGAGAACATAGTGGTAAGACCCTGTGGTCCAGGCAGTGGGATAGAGACTAACACTACAGGCCTATCCCAGGCTGCCTGGTACCACAAGCTACTTGAGGACACTCCCCCCACCCCACCCAGTATGCGCGATACCCCTTAATTGGCCCTTCTCTGCTCCCTGTCTGTGATGACGGGGAAGGTGTCACCAACACATATCCAGGCCAGCCTTGTCCTGAGAGCTCCAGAGCTTTTCTTGCTAACCAGCTCATGAGAAGCCACCTGTCCAGCCCCCCACAGCCACCATGATACCCAATGCCTGCCCAAAACACCTGCACTGGGACCTTGCATTTCCTGGCAGTGTTCTGCTGCATCCACAGCCCAATGTCCCATCTGTCCTTTGTATAAGAGTCTTGAGAGATGCCCACATGGACAGAACCTAGGACACACCTACTGTGGGACAACTGAAGGCAGGTTTCCACATGGCTCCAAGGTGGCTGTTAGCCACCCACCTCTGCCACAGCCATGGGGACAGAATACGGGAGCACAGATAGGTCCAGACATAAGGCCCCAGGAAGAGGCCTCACAGAAAACTGCAACTGGCTCCCACCCTGCAAGCATTGCCCAGTTTATGGCAGGCCTGCCTGCTGAAGATACCCAATGCCACATCTGTCATGATAGCAGAGGTTCCCACCCTACTGCACGTTCAAATCCCTGGGGCTCTGAAGAGGGCCCAATACTACCTGGTGGTGACTTCAATGGCCTGGAGGGATCCAGAGCCAGCACTGTGAAAACCAGGAAGGGGATGGGGATGAGAGGCACAAGTGCACCCAAAGAAAACAGGCAGGCAGGGCCACCTACCAGCTGGTGAATGCTGTCGATGGCCCGGTTGTACTTGTCACAGAGCCTCTGCATGCTTTCGAAGCTGAAAAGCAAGGGGATGGCACTGGTCACTGGAAGCCTAACACAAGCCATAGGACTTTCACAGGGAAGGCCTAGTCCCTAACCGGGGCAGTCAAACAGAGATGGGTGCTCATGCAAAAGGCTACTAACCAGTGCAACCCTTGGCCAGGAAGCCTCACTTCCAATCCAATGAGGGGAAAATGGTAGCCAATGCACATGGACAGGTACCACAATCCTGGGCAGGCTGAGCTCATAGGTCAAACTCACACCAAGGTGCCCAGTAGGCCTAAGAGTGGTACAACATCGGGCCCCCTTATGCATCCAACCACATGTAAACAGAAAACTGCCTGGGTTCCCTGTCCCTTCCCTGGCTGGAAAGAGCCACCTCTAGCCCAGCTTCTGGCCCCCACTTAATGAGAAGCAGAACACCCAGGGCCAGGGACTAGTGACAGCACAGCTCTGGTTGATTATGTGCACAAACATCTTAAAAAATTCTGACACACAGGGTGGCGCCTGTGGCTCAGTGAAGTAGGGTGCCGGCCCCATATACCAAGGGTACAGGGATCAAACCCGGCCTGACCAAACTGCAATAAAAAGTAGCCAGGCATTGTGGCAGGCACCTGTAGTCCCAGCTAC